GGGCCGCCGCCGCCGCCGCGGCCGCCGCGGCGTGCGCATCGGTCGCTCGCGTCTGGGAGGCGGCGCAGGCGCAGCGTGCCCCCAAGGCGAGGGGCAGGCTGCTGGAGGGCTGGCGCGCGGTGCTCCGTGCGCCGCTCTGGCGTGGCAGCACGTGTCGACGGGCGGCACTCCGCCGTGCGCGCGCGCCTTCCACGCGTCGGTGAGCGTCGGCCCGTGGCTGCTCGTGCTCGGGGGGGAGGCGGCCCCGTCGACCGAGGCGGGCCTCTTCCACTACCTCTCGGACGTGCACGCCCTCCGCCTCCCTCCGATTCCCTCGCCGGGCGCGGCGGCGATGGCGCTGGCAGCTCCCCCTGACCGAGGGAGAGGTGTGCGGCGCTTCAAGCCAAACTGACGCCCCTTCCGATGACGCCCGGTAGGCCTCCTGCTCTCCATCCTCCTCCTCCTCCTCCTCCCCCTCCTCCCCCTCCTCCCCCTCCTCCTCCTCCTCCTCCTCGCCAGTGGAGTGGAGGCTGCTCACTCCCCGCGGAGGATGCGCCGCCTGCTCCGCGCGTGCCGCCGGCGGAGTGGCGACGTGCACCGCCTCGTGCCCCGCGGCGCCGCCGTCCTCGCTCGCTTCGGTGCCGTCCCCGCCGCCTCCTCTGCGCCATCGCCCCGCTTCCCGACCCTTGGCGCACCCCCCCTCCTCCCACCCTGCTTCCAAGGTGTGGGTCGTGGACTCGGCGCTGCTCGTCTTCGGCGGCTTCAACCAGGCGAGTGCCCGCGCCAGAGACGGCTGCCGAGAGTGCGCGGGAGTGCTCTCCTGCGAAGACGGTCCTCACTCTCCCTCCTCCGTGCGCAGCTCGCTGACGCGGACCTCTCCGATTTGCACACGTTTGAGCTCGCCTGATGCGAGGGCACGGGTCGCGGCTGCGAACGAGTGGGCGGCTGTGAGCCGTTTGCTCGTGTGGGTGGGTGGAGAGGTGTGGGTGTTTTGCTTTTGGGGTGGGGTACTGGGAGGGCGAGGGGGGCATCGTTTGGGAGGAGGGGCGCTTCATGAAGGGCGCCACGGTGCACACGGTCTTGCACTAACACCAAGGGGGGGGGCGCGTCGGGACTCGCTACTATCGAGTATAGAGGTTAGAGCCGTGTATATCTGTATCTGTGTGTGCTCCTCTAGAGTAGGCCTCTACATGTGTCTGTAGATGGCACGTATGCGCAGGTGCTCTCTTATGAGAGGTGGTTTGAGGCTTTGACCTTTGACCTTCGAGCGAGCCCGACCCCCTCAGGCGCCGCGAGGTTATTTAATAATAGACCATTTTTAAATACGTGTGTTGACGGCTTTAGCTTTACACATGCACGGCTCTTTGGTGCGGCCACACCCCCACACACCGCAACGACGTCGCCACCGACGGTCTCGGGCTCTGTCACTCGGCGGCCCGGCTATTGCGCATTGGGGCGCGTTAGAGGCCGCCCCCCGCGCGCGTACGACAAGTGTGTGCAGCTCTCAGAGCTTAGTACTGACGTCTCTGGGGGGAGGCGAGGGCCCTAGAGGGCATCCATGCGGGGGGGAGATGGGGTCCCATGGCCCGCCGCAGGCGCCGATTTTTTCGGGATTTTTTTCTTTTTTGCGCGATTTTTTACTTGTTTTCATGGGAATTCGCTGTACTTGCGGCCATGCTATCACGCCTTGCGACAGCCTGTCGGCGCTGCTGACCGTGCCCTGCTGCGCAATTGACCACCTGCATAGCTCGCGGCCTTAGTATCCACCATTCAGTGACGACCTGATCGTACGGCCAGTAGGAAGCAAGGTGTCCTTCCAGCGCGTGCACGCTTCTGACGCAATGCGCGTCACAAGCTGCCTCGGCGACTGGCTGCTGGCACTCTCGAGGCTATGCCTACACAGCCTCGCGCGCATGGGCAGTCATACAAGAGGGACCATGCACTTTCTCAGGAGAGCGCCGGTGCCTCTCTCTTGGACCGGCAAACTTGGTGGTCTCGTGTCACCAATGTGGGACCAGTGCAGCATCGCGCCATCGACAGCTCTGAACTGCGCCTCACCACTGACCGGGAAGGCCGCCAAGTGGGCCAGCACAGGTCGCACATTGTGGCAGCAGTCAGCAGTGCATGTCTGATAGCTAGAGCAGCAGCGTCAGGGTCGCAGGGTCGGATCGTGTCAAGCCTCTCGCCCGGCCGGCCGCGTGCAGACGTCGGCCTGTCTGCTGTCTGGAGTGATCTGTCGGCGGTCAGTACGACCGATCAGGTCGGAGTTTTCTGATGGTTGGAGGGTCTATCTGTATGTACTCCTCGAGATCTCTCCAAATCTGCCCTCTGATTAACCTAGCTTAATCGGGAAGTCGGTGCTAGCGGAGACTAGCGGAGCCGGAGCCCCGTTTCCGCACTGCTGCGCGGCGCACGGTGCCTCCGGGGGCCCCCGCCTCCCCCCAGAGACTGACGTACCCCGTGCACACACCGAGTCCTTGATTATGCAGCAACAAACGCGTGGAATAACCCCCCCAAAATCAGGCGGCCGCGCGCCTCCTTGGGCTCGCTACCTGCGCTTTCAGGGCATTTCGGCTCCCACGTCCCAGCCCTCTTACACTTTGCCAGGTGTGAAGCGCAGAATAACCTCAACGCAACGCTGCTCGCAACATCGTGTGACGTGTCCGCTCGCACTCTCAGTCACTCATTCATGGACCGACCTCAATCAAAATCCGAATGCCACGTTCCGCGTTCGGATCGTTCCTCATCGCAAACCCCGTCAGCAGTCCTCCTCCGGGAATGTACGTAAGAGCTACATACACTGAGAGAAAGTTCTCTAGGCCCCTAAGCATAGCCTAAGCGCTAAGGGCCCTACGCGCGGCGTGAGAGCTCGGAAGCGAGCTTTCTTTGCACGGCGATCGAGGATGGCGCGGTTCACCCCCTTCACCGAAGCGATGGAGATGCGTTCCGCGTGGTGTGACACAAATGAGAGGCGGGAGTGGGGAGGGTACGCGGTGCGGGAGAGATTTTAGGAAACCAACAAGAAATCACGACTCTCACAGTGCGGTCAATCAACACCTACACTGAAAATATCCCCCCCCCCGCCGCACCCTCCCCCCTGCAGCCTGCCGCCTGCCGCCTGCGGCGCTGCGCGCGGGCCTTCTAGGCCCGCGGGGAGTCTCTCCATCCCCAGGGCATCCAGTCGAATCCAGGGATCGCACCTCAACCTGGCCGCGAATTTTCTTTCTTCTCAATAACAAGGCCGCCGCATCCTGTACCGTGTTTGTTATGACCCCCCCCAATGAACACACCAGAGAGGGAGGGCGAGACGATCGAGGGGTCCCGTACCATGCGGAACCGACCCTATCCATCCAGTGCTCAGAAAGAAAGAAAGAAAGAAAACAGACAACCCAAGGGGCTCAAGGCCGCCGCAGCCGCCTTTTTTGGTTGTGGCAGCGAGCAAGGACGGGCACGTTGTCCTATGCAGAGCCGGGTTGACCCAGGCGGCCGTAGCGGCGATCCGACCGGTCCGGCAAAGGGTGCGGAGCCAGCCACCTGCATAGCGACAGCCCTGCTCCTCTGCATCAGCACTTTTCTGGCCCGGCTGCTCGCCCCACGCGGCGCTCAACCGCAAGATGGCGTGTGGCGCATGCGCGGCGGTCTTTGGATAAACCGGCACGGCATGGCGCTGTACGAGGAGGACGCGGGCGAGAGCGACGACTCCGCCGATGACGACGAACTTGGCAGCGCGCGGCCAGCCGCGTCGCACACATTCACATCCCACCCTCTTTGCAACCACAGACAGGTTCTGCGTACGCCGCTGGCTGCAGCGGTTGCAAAGTCACGCCTTCGGGCCACGCCCATTATATCTCACCCGCTTTCGCCACACGCCCGTTACCTCGCCCGCCCCGCGCACGCCCGCGCCTCCGTATGCGTGCTCACTCACGCTCTCTCTGAGCAAGCCGCCGTGTGCGCGCAGATGCCCCCGGGAGGAAGGGAGGGAGGGGCGTTTCGTTGTAAATTGATGAGAGGACTAGCACTCACCGCCCGCACACTGCCGCCCATCCCTCCAAACGGGCTTCTTGGGTGGAAAGATATGCCACCGGCCGGCGCCTTCCGGTTACTCAAAACGGTGTGGAGACACATTCTCTCGGCGCCGTCGCGGGTAAGCAGAGGCGGGGCGGTCTCCGCTTGTATGTTCTGCGTCAGGGTTGCGCTGCAGACGAACGGCTCAAACTCGCGCGTTGGCCACGTCGCCATCGTCGACAAGAAGGTGCCAGTAGCGTACTTTAGTAGCGGCTGCGTGCCGAGCAAGAGCTGTACAACCCGCCTCTTCCCTCCCCGCAGGAGCCCAACGGTCGCGGGCTCCACGTGCGGCTGCTCACGTGCCACGCGCGGGACCTATGGCTCCCCGCCGCGCTCAAGGGAAACGCCTGGCAGCCTCTCGAGAGCTGCCGCGTGCGGGTGGCGTACCTCGAGGACGACGCCTCGGACCGTGCGACTGTCTACGAGGGCCAAGTGGTGTCCCTCGACGCGAAGGAGCTGGGGATCCAGGTGCAGTTCGAGGGATCGCCCCTCGAGTGGGTCTCCTTGCTGGAGGCACGCCCGCCGAGTGTCGTCGGCCGCACTGCCAGCCCCCGGCCCCGCACCGGACGCCCTCTTGCCTCTAGGATGAGTGGGAGTGGGCAGACATGGAGCGGCCCTCTCACGCGTCGATCACCGATGCGCTGCGCCGCCGCGCCGAGCACGAGGCGCAGCTCGCCGCCGACTGCAACGCCGCCGACGCCGCTGCCTACGCCGCCGACGCCACGCACGGCGCGCCGCCCAGCGGCCGGCAGCAGCAGGCTGCCAGCGGTGGAGCGGCGGCAGCCTGCGGAGGCGTAGGGGGCGGGAGCGGCGGGAGTGGGCGCGGCGGAGGGCGCGGCGGAGGGCGCGGCGGAGGGCGCGGCGGTGCTGGCCGCGGCGGCCGCACGGCCGGCGCTGCACCGACCGGAGAAGGCGGAGGCGGAGGCGGAGGGGTCGGGGCAGGCGTCACGGGCGGGCGCAGCGGAGGGAGGGGCGCGTCGCAGCCGCGGCCGGCGAGTCGCGAGGTGGTGCCCTTCTCCACCGCGATGCAGCTGATCGACAGCGCTTGCGCCGCCAACGGCCAGAGCGAGGCGCCCGAGATGGCTGGCATGCGGCGCGTGGCTGCGGCTGTCAGGACGCTCGCGCGCACAGACGCGCGGCGGATGCAGGACGTGGAGGACTGGCGGACGGCGGTGTCTTGGCTGCGCGCGCACTCGGCCCTGGGCGCGCGCGCGCTGCTCGAGCTCCTCCACTTGGGCGCCCTCGACCGCCTGGTGCGGCTGATCGACTTCGAGGACGCGGCGCTCGCAGAGGACGCTGCGGTGGCATGCATCAACGCGGCGCTGCAGCCGCAGTGCCGCGCGGCGCTGCTCGCAAAGAACGCCGTGCGTCACGCGGTGCAAATCGTGCACGGCACCGAGAGGCAGCGCGGCCTCGGGCTCGCGCTGCTGCAGAACCTGACCATCTCGCACAAGTCGCACCAGGCGGTGGCCGACAGCGGGCTGCTCCAGATGATGCCCCAGCTGCTGGAAGCGCAGTCGAGCGTGCGGCACAAGGCGTGCGCGATGCTGCAGCACCTCTCCTCCAACCCCGAGCTGATGCAGGCGCTCGGCGGCTCGCAGCTCATCCCGCTCATGTTTTTCGTCATGTCGTCCGAGGTGGACGAGCCGTGCTTGTGCGCCGCCCTCTCCACCCTCGTCAACATCTCCTCCCACTTCCCCGACGAGCAAACCTTCCGCGCACAAAAGCTGCTCCACCGGCTCCAGCAGCTCAGCGCGTACCCAGCGGCGCGCGAACTCGTCGCGGCCATCGCCACAAACCTCGCTTCCGAGCCGACGCAGCACAACGCCCTCGCAAACCACGGCCTCCTCGGCCTCGTTTACCCGCCCTCCGCCTCCGCTGGAGGCGGAGGAGGAGGCGGAGGCGGAGGCGGCGGAGGCGGCGGCGCAGGCGGAGGAGGCGGAGGCGGCGGAGGCAGAGGCAGAGGCGGCGGCGGCGGCGGAGGCCCGAGCGGCGCCCCAAACCATGCCGCTCAGGCCTGGGCTCACCACGGCGAGGCGGCGCACCACCTCGCAGGCGGCGGCAGCGCCGGCAGGGCAGTGGCCGAGGTTGGCTTTCCGCCTGGAGTGGCCGCAAACGGCTACGATCCTCGAGCCGCACAGCACAGCCAGCATCAGCAGCAGCAGATGTTGATGTTGCGGCAGCAGCAGCAGCAACAGCAGCGGCAGCAGCAGCAGCAGCAGCAGCAGCAGCAGCAGCAGCAGCAGGCTTTCCCATACCAAGGGGCGCAGTATGGGAATGGCAGCTGGCACGGGTGCGAGATGCCGTACCAGGGCGTGGCTAGCGGCAGCGACGCTGGCGGGAGCAACGTTGGCGGTTGGGGCGGAGGGAGTGCTTGCGATGGGGGGTCAGAGGCGGAGCGGTGCGGGAGTGCAGCTGGACCAGCGATGGGCGGAGAGGTGGACGATGGGGAGGAAGGCGAGGAGGCGGGCGATGGCATGGAGCTGGAGGAGGGCGAGGAGGAGAGCGAGGAGGAGGAGGAGGGCGAGGGCGAGGGCCCGGCGGAGGGCGATGTGGATGGCGAGCGGTTGCGCAGCATGGACAGCGTGGATCGCGAGACGGTCCAGCAGATGCTCGCGCTTGTGCACCAGCAGCAGCCTTGGTATGGCGGCAGCGGGGCGTGAGGCGAAGAGGCCCAGTGCCCAGCTCTTGCCGGCCCTCGCGCTCCAATGTGCAATGAGGTGAGAACCTCGGCGGCGAGGTGCGAATGTCTAAGGTTCGGTTCGGCTTCGGGAGACAGCGACCTCTCTCTCGATCTCTCAAAGAGAGAGCGGTCCTTGTCGAATTGTCAGCTTCAGTCCACACAGTCACAGATCACAAGAAAGAAGTAGTCTCTTAGACAACCGCGCATAATACAGATTACTGTTCCCGGGCATTATAGTCCGCTATATTATAATTAATAATACCGCCAACTTCGTCGGCGGGCACTGTGGTTCAGGTTGGGTAGCCTAGTAGGCTAAGTTCTGAGCCTCGAGGCTTAACGGGTCTAACTAAGTGTGACCGGTCACGCTCGGGTGTGTACGCGGTCTAAGATCGGCGGGAGCCTCTTATGCGGGCTAAGTCGGCCGTGATCAGTTAGAGGGTTGCCTCAAAGAATTTCTTCATGAATTTCTTCGCCTGCGGCGGGCGGGCGTCGCAAACTTGCGCACGGAGGCTGAGAGGAGGGCGTGCGCGGCAAGTGGCGACGGCACTTGTAGCTTGTTGACCCATGGGGTCGTGCAAAATATCCAGGGTTTACACATTTTATTTAGCAGACCGTGGGCCGGACCGGGCAGCCTGGCTGGGCTGTGGCTGGGCGGGGGGGGGGGGGGGGGGGCTTCCTGCAGAGACCCGGAACTGGCCACCTCGTGTCGTCTAAGTTCGTGTGGTGAGTCCGATCACCAGCGTCTAAGTTTGAGAGCCCGTTTCCTTCCGGGGGCTTAGTTCAGCGCTCGGCTCGGCGAGCAGGTCTAAGTTTTGGGCAACCCTCTACCCCTGCTACCCAACCATATTGTCGGCGGTGTAGAGCACTCGCTTGCTTTTTTTCGCTCCAGTCCTGCGGATCTTCATAGTAGACCGGAGGGCTACGAAGCCTTCACACTCCAAGGGGCTGGGTGTAGAGAGCGACACCCCGCGCCCTAAAGCCGTACCGGGTATCCGCGCTAAATGAAGAGTAAGCCTACCCAAAGCGCCGTTTTTTATGACCAATACGAGCCGTCCCCCCCTGACCCCACCCCCCCTGGACGCGTCCACCCTCCGTCCAACATTCGCATCCCTACTAATACGGGGTGTGGAGGGTGAGTTGACCAGGGGTTATGCGCCGGGCCCTCCTGCTCGGCTCTAGCCAGTAGACAAGTCTTGTCATCAACAGAGTAGAAGGATCTGACCTCGGGGCCGATGTGACCAAGCGCTGGTGCCGTGGTTTTACCTCCCACCCATGGTCTCACAGTGTGCCGACAGTCGCCGAGCAGTGTCGCTTTCACACAAGCCGCAGCACAAGTGACTGAGGGCCAGTGTGCAGTGAGGGCGAGCCCATCGCTGTGACAGCTGTGGGCAGCCGCACAGTAGGCTGTGCCATCTGTGCAGAGCGTGTGAGCAGCAGAGGAGCTGCTCTCCAGGCTTCAGTCGCAAAGAGGTGCATGCCACCGAAGGCGCTGTCGAGGTTCGCCGAGCGCGGCGCAGGTTCAGGGACACCGTCACCGACGAGCGCGTTGGACTTTTCACTCCGGACGAAGACGGCACACAGCGGACGGTGCGGGGCGTGTGCCCGTCACAGCGGCGAGGCGCGGGACCGTCTGTGGCGAAGTGAGTCGCGTCCCTGAATTTCCGTCAACTCACCCTCCACACCCTCTAGGATTCCTACATACTTATCGCTGGCGAACTTGCTCTGGGTATGGCGCGGGGCCCCCAGAGGGTGTCCATGCGGCGCGAGACGCCTCCGCCGGCCTCGACTGCGAGCGGACGAGTTCTGCCGCCTCCGCCGTAGCCGAGCGATCGGCCAGCGCCTCTGCCGCCAGCGCCATCGCCGTCGGCTGTACCGTCGAGCAAGGCATCGCCGTCAAGTGCGCTGCCTCGCCTCGCACGGCCGGCGCCCTTCTGGCCAGCGCGCGAGACGCCTGCGCCGCCCTCGACTACGACCGGACGCGCCCTGCCGCTGCCTCCGCCGTAGCCGAACGATCGGCCAGCGCCTCTGCCGCCAGCGCCGTCGCCGTCGGCCGTACCGTCGAGCAAGGCATCGCCTCCGTCAAGACCTTCGTCTTCGAGCGTGATGCCGCGCCTCGCACGGCCGGCGCCCTTCGGGCCAGCGCGCGAGACGCCTCCGCCGGCCTCGACTGCGAGCGGACGAGCTCTGCCGCAGCCTCCGCCGTAGCCGAGCGATCGGCCAGCGCCTCTGCCGCCAGCGCCATCGCCGTCGGCCGTACCGTCGAGCAAGGCTTCGCCTCCGTCAAGTGCGATGACTCGGCTCGCACGGCCGGCGCTCTTCGGGCCAGCGCGCGAGACGCCTCCGCCGGCCTCGACTGCGAGCGGACGAGCTCTGCCGCCTCCGCCGTAGCCGAACGATCGGCCAGCGCCTCTGCCGCCAGCGCCGTCGCCGTCGGCCGTACCGTCGAGCAAGGCATCGCCTCCGTCAAGACCTTCGTCTTCGAGCGTGATGCCGCGCCTCGCACGGCCGGCGCCCTTCGGGCCAGCGCGCGAGACGCCTCCGCCGGCCTCGACTGCGAGCGGACGAGCTCTGCCGCAGCCTCCGCCGTAGCCGAGCGATCGGCCAGCGCCTCTGCCGCCAGCGCCATCGCCGTCGGCTGTACCGTCGAGGGCGTCGCCGTCGCTACCGTCGAGAACTCGAGTCTCGCCTTTGAGCGTGATCGCTCGCCTTGCACCGCCGGCGCTTCACATTGTTCACGCGCTGGCACCTCTTCGTGGATCGTGCTCGACCAGGTCGAGCACTCCATTTTCTTCTCGTTGCGTGCAGATCTGCGAGCGCCACATGGGGCTGCCAATTCCATGCCGAGGGCCACCCCAGCACAGTCATGGGGCAAAGGGGTCCGCACCTCCGGCTCCGCGCCGCGCCTCGCCTCCGTCAAGGGCGACCTCAAGCGCGCCGAGACGTACAGCGACGGCGCAGCTCAAGACAAGGGTAGCGCCGAGACGTGCAGCGACGGCGCAGCTCAAAGACAAGGGTAGCGCCGAGACGTGCAGCGACGGCGCAGCTCAAGACAAGGGTAGCGCCGAGACGTACAGCGACGGCGCGCCGCTCCTCGCCCGAGACAAGGGCGCGCCGCATGGGGCTGCCAATTCCATGATGGATTATCTCCGGTGAGATCCAGGGCCACCCCAGCGCAGACATGGGGCAAAGGGGTCCACACCTTCGGCTCCGCGCCGCGCCTCGCCTCCGTCAAGGGCGACCTCGCCTCCGTCAAGGGCGACCACGGCCTGCGCCCTCGTGCCCGCGCCGTCTCCGGCCTGCGCCCCAGCGCCCGCGCCTTCTCTCTCTCCGGCCTGCGCCCTCGCGCCCGCGCCGGCTCCGGCCTGCGCCCCTGCGCCCGCGCCTTCTCTCTCTCCGGCTCCGCGCCGCGCCTCGCCTCCGTCAATCGCGACCTCAAGCCGTCCTCTTTCTTCTCGCTGCGCGACTCGATCATGAACATCTCGCACGAGTAGAGCCTCTCGCTTCCCCTCGGGGGAGTCCAGTCTGATCGGGGGGAATTGCCCCACGTCCGCGTAAGCTTCCCAGGCGCGGCAGACTTTGCATGTTTGTCCCATCTCCACATCTTCTCAGGTCATACCGACCTGGGGGGGGCGTTGGAATGCGGAGATAGTAACTACTCTCTGTGGTGCCCCCTTGGTACTTTGCTCGTGTCCCGCGTGACCCTCTGTCTCACATGAGTTTCTTCCCTCGATTGTGTCACGCGGGGTTGCCGCTTTCTGTGTTGCTTTTGTACGCGGCTCGCGCCCTGCTTCTTGTGTCTTACATCTTTTGTACGACCCTAAGCGCGACCCCGGCTGCCCCTTGTTCGAGGCTACACGCCGGTGCCACTCTCGCGTTTCGAACGCCTTGAACTCGGGACTCGAATCACCCTCGCGAGAGTCGATCCTGCTTTGTTAGACCTAAAGGTCGGCGCTTCGACCAACTAGGCCGCCTTAGGTGCCCTTGGAGCACTTGGAGTGCAGTCATCAACCTCACATCCAGGGCCGGGGAGCTGAGGAGCGCACCCAGCGGGCCGGATGATCGGGATCGGGTTACGGCTAGAGAGCCCTAAGCGCGCGCCAACCCGAGTATTGACCGCGCAAGATAAAGGGGGACTAAGGGCTCTGCCCGCAAGGCGCCCGCGTCGCAGACGCGGTACTCAGCTTCGTAACCCGTGAAAACAAAAGCAGGACCGTGGCTCCCAAATACGACAACGTCGGGGCAAGTTTGGTAAACGCCATAACATGGGCGATCCAGCGCTTCCTTCGATTGGACGGACGAAATGATCGGGGAAAAGCGCATCGCGACATCTCTGGGGTCACCATATGCCGGACCGGCATAAGACATACCGGCTTACGCTCACGCCTGCGACCGAGGCGGAGCTGCTGCGGCTGAAGGAGTGCGGAGAGAACAAGCAGCTGCTGTCCCGTTGCGCGCTGTGGTGCAGCAGCGGCGCCCTTGAGGCGATCATCGTGCTCCAGAAGAAGCGCTATCCGTACCAGGTGGGCCAAGCTGGTGAGTGGGGTGAATGCATCTTGCCGGGGCCGTGGCAGGCGATCGAGTTCGACGACGCTCAGTGGCGAGCAGTTGCCGTGATGCAGGGCGCATGGGTCCGTGACTGGACGCAACGGGGCAGGCGCACTGACCTCACCGCACAGGCCGAGCCGCTTCTCCCACCACTTCCCCCGCTTCAACCGCCGGATCAGCAGCAGCCGGGTGATACGGTTCCTCTACCCGACCCAGCCGCGCTGCATCCCACACCGCAGCCGCCCCCGATGCCATGGGTCCCACGAGAAAGTTTTACGTGCGCCGGGCTCACCGACAAACCGCCAAGATTCTGGAGATCACTGGCCGATGCTATGCCCGCGCTGACGACACAGCCACGATTCAATGAGAGTGCCGAGGCACAGGCAGAACGGCTACAGCTGCCTCTCCTAGACCCACGCAACGCCGACCACGACAACCACAAGTGGTCAGCGCAGCCGCCGGTCAAACGCGTGTGCTATCAATCAATGCGGCCGTGCGAATGGAAGCAGACGTGGTACACCGATGCATTCCAGTGGGTTGAGTACAAAACTGAGCTGGTGCGCTTCTTACATGCACTGCGTTGCATTGTCGATGGTACCACCGAGTACCTGGACGTCGAGTTTGCGCCTGAGATGTGGCGCTTGAGGGGCGGCGGCGTCAACTGCTACCCGTGCAAAAACGCGCGGGCGCGAGAGGAGTTTGACGAAGACCCGTGTGAGCTATGCGGTGCCGGGATGGAGGAGCCGTGCCAAGAGCACTGTGTCATTCCAAGGGCCGCACGCAACTGGTGGACTGCGTACGAGGCAGAGCTGAGCGGACAATGGCCGGCGTGGTGGAGCTCAGGCGGACTATCGGATTATCGGATTCCCCGCCGCGGCTGGTGCGTTGCACAGCGTACTCTACTGCGTGTGAAGCTGCTGCTGGCTCGCATGGTGCTCAACCGTGGCGACTCGCTGGCCATGCGATGCCTCATCCTCGCTGGCACGCCCCCTACTCCCAAGTTTGCGGACCAGCACAAACCGCCACTCCACCAACGACTGCTGCACTTCCGCGGTGTGATCCACTTCAGCAATTACGATGGTGCAGCAAAGGAGCTGGAGAGCATGCAGACGTCGACGTTGTATCCTGAACGTCGCAATATGGACATCAGCGAGATTGCAGCCAAGTACGGGATAGCCTATGGCCCTCAGCCATTGCACTACATCATTGAGTCGAGCACGTTCAGCCGCAACTTGCTTGGAGTGAGGCTCAGGCAACCGCATCACGGTCTTCCA